GTAGCACTCTCAGGTTTTTATTTTCCAAAATTATTTGGTTCATGACCAATTATCTGCAAAACTACAATTCCCATCAAGCTCAACTGTAGTTTGGGATTTGTGTAAGCATTTTAACATGCTAAACTAAAGATGGTGAATGTGGTAAGTATTATTCCATATTAACATTCAAATGCAAACATTGTCATTTTGAATATGTTAGCAAGCTATTGTTAGCACCTTGCTCAAATATGCACTGTGGCTCAGTACAGCCTCACAGCTCCACATATTTGTCTTGTCTGTATAATGTTTTCAGATTACGCAAAGTGCTTTCATTTCATGTATTTCTCTCTGGGTTCTGTGCCGTATCAAATGTTCCTCTCATTTGCTGACACATGTACTAGCCCATAATGATGCTGAGTTGTCCCTAACGAGTGTGCTGTGCAGACATCGACCAGTGGAATAAGGTGATTGAGGTTCTGGGCACGCCCAGCCTGGAGTTTATGAACCGGCTGATGGAGACCGTGAGGAATTATGTGATGAACAAGCCGCAGTATCCTGGAGTCAGCTTAGACAAGCTTTTCCCGGACTGGGCCTTTCCCTCTGACTCAGAACATGATAAAATAAAGAGTAAGAATTATCCAAAATAATTGTTGTACTTTAAATGCATATAGCCTAGTTGTCGTTCCCCTGCATAGATGTTTCAGAGAATTGTCCAGTTTCATGTATTTTTAACCTTTTTAGTCAGAGATATTTGTCTGCAATATATTGACGTGACCAAACAGTTTCCAACTAAATTACAGACATAGAGGTAGAAAACGGGATCTCTTATACAACAAGTTCAGAGAGTGACCATGCAGGTCAACAGTTGTTCTGCCCTACTCTGTGGCATTTAGAGTAAGATCAGCCAAACAAAGAACACATCTTGACATTCCCGGAGATGTTACCCAACTCTGCACGGGGAAGTAATCAGTTATCATAAAGACTGTTAAATGAAATCATGTCATGGGCCTGTTTCCATAGTAACACTGCCCTTCCTCTGTTGCCATAACAGCAGGTCAAGCACGGGACCTGCTCTCCAAAATGCTGGTCGTTGATCCTGAATGCCGCGTCTCCGTAGAAGAAGCCCTCAATCACCCCTATATCCACGTGTGGTACGACCCCGGAGAGGCCGACGCGGTGAGGAAACTGTGTGTGTGTGTGTGTGTGTGTGTGTGTGTGTGTGTGTGTGTGTGTGTGTGTGTGTGTGTGTGTGTGTGTGTGTGTGTGTGTGTGTGTGTGTGTGTGTGTGTGTGTGTGTGTGTGTGTGTGTGTGTTGATAAATGTTTCTCTCTTTGTTTCACAGCCTCCTCCCCAGATTTCAGATAAGCAGCTGGAAGAGAGAGAGCACTCCATCGAGCATTGGAAAGGTGGGAGCCACTGCCCTCTAGGGCCATCTATCTGCAGTGCAGCCAAACTTCATTCATGTTCTGATTCCAAAAGATACAGGAAACTCTTAACCCTATTAAGAATCATGTTTCTACCATATCTACCTATTTATGCGTAGATATTCTATACACATGAAAAAAATCATCTTTGTTTGTGTTACAAAACTCTGACAAATCATCCTAAAAAAACATGTGTGTGTAAATAATAATAAAAAACAAGACCAATTAACAGCAGTTGATGAGATTTCTTCGAGCTGATGGATTCACCTAAGTTAATTAACACATAGTTGGCCAATAATACACTATTTCTAATGTTCTGCATCTGAAAGGCTGCATTCTGAGCACACACTGACGACACCTAACTTTTTCTGCTTTTCCACAGAACTCATTTATGAAGAGGTGATAGATTGGGAAGAGAGGAACAAGAATGGACTGATGAAAGAAGACTGCTCAGGTACACCCATGCTCCATCTTTATTCATTAGATGCAATAATATGTTAGTGGTCACGTGTCCAACCCACTATTTCTTACTGTTTTAAGGCGAGACACGGCAGGCAAAAACATCGTTTTTCAAGTACAGGTCAATTTTGAGATTGTGCGCTATTTTGATTCCATAACATGTTTTCTTTCAGGCTTTTGGAAGGAAAACGTACAAAATACACATTTAAGTGTTTATTTTACTATAGTTTGTCTATTTGCGTCTGTAGATTTCTCCTAAATTCACCAAAAGTTAGCATTCTAACGTAACATAAAGTACCGCGACCGCTGTGTGCACCATGTCAACAGAGGTATCGCTGGAAAGCTGTGTCTCTCCTGCACAATCTCATTGGATCCAAATATGGTCATTTCCTTTGTATCAGCAACCAATCGTGAAAGCACAAAGGGGTCTTAAACCAAGAAACGAAATCTCATTGGCTGGTGTCAATTTCTGACAACGTGATTCGTTCAGATGCGTCACGTGGTGTGCTAAAACACTTCCTGGTTAGCTTTCAGCTAGAAATTGAAATCTCAAAATGCAAAAAGAACGGCGAAAAAAACGTTCACAGAGAAGACAACAACAATTGTCACTTGCACGAAGCAAGGTTATAAAAAAAAAAATGACCCTGAACATGAAATACCTTCACGGAGTGCGTCGATGCGCAAGCTGTCATCCAAGAACAGGAGGGTTTAGCTAGCGCCTCACTGCAATCTTTAAAGGTCGTTTTCTCAAAATGAGTTTTTTCTCCTACTCTGAGTTCGAAATTTCAACTTCAGTAGCACGTAGATATACCAAACCTTCCAGTTATATTCCTATCAATATTATGAAGGCTTTTACAGAAGGGTTTGTTCATATATCATTCATAGCCTGAATTATACAACATTATATACCTAAAAACATGGCGAAAATGGATATTTTAGGGCTGTTGACAGTATTTTCTGATTTATGGAGTGATAAAAAGAGATATCCAATATCCCTTCTGTAAAAGCCTTAGATACTAATATGACTACAAAATGAAACAAGAATTTTGAATCTGGCTATATCCAAAGTTCAGATTTCGATTTCTGAAATGTGTTAAAATATGTGCATATTTAATGAGATAATGGATAATTTGCATATTTAAACATGCTATTTCAGAAAACTTGTAATACAAAAGACAATTGCCTTATTGTAAGTAATTAACTGGAGAAATTTCTAGCTGATACCTTTAAGTTAAAATAATTACCCTATTCACCTGGGGTGTCTCGCCTTAACTCTATATATTATTGGTATAATGACCTAAACGATATTCTGGTTCTCTCCATCGTGTGTGTGATTCAGATGTGGTGTCAGGGTCCGCCTCCCAGTCTTCATCAGCCAACGACATCTCGTCCATGTCCACGGAGCACACCCTGGCGTCGGACACGGACAGCAGCAGCATCGACACGCTGACGGGAGCGCTGGACGAGAGTCAGTGAACACATCGCCTCGGTCCTCCCATTTACAATTTACAAATATCAATCAACTACCGCCTTCATTTCTTCTCTTTACTTTTTCTTCTTTCTTTTCTCCTCTGTAACCTCGAAGAATAGGTCTATTTTTCTATTTTCTTTCTGTGTGTGTCACCTAGTGGATGTTGTTGCTCTTTTCAATATCAAACTTTGTTTTGGACTGCTGCCAGGAGGTCAAAGTCTGTCTATTCGTTCTAAATAGAGAGCTTTATATTCTATCTGTTGGGTCAAAGGTTGGTCTTCTTTGTGGATATTGTTTACCTTCGTCAAGTATACATGCATCCAGATTGATTTTTGGGTTCCCAGGAGTAGGTGGGAGATTGTTGTCTGTTCTGTATACCTGTATTTTAATAGTTTTATTTTTTTAGCAAATATTACATTGAGACCAGAGTTTATCAAATTAGAGCATAGACGCACTGAACATAGACCACAGCTGCTCTCATGCATGATAAGCCCATATGAACAAAAACTCACCATAAGTCGATCGCACCAACCATTTAATGTCCATCTGAGGATCAAACACTCATCCAGAGTTGGATCGATCCTCTCCACAGCGGTGCTTTCTACACTTTGTTTTTAAGTAATTGCCTTGAGTGGTGAGAATTTTAAACTCTTCCTCCTGACAGCTAGGGAAAGCTGGGATTGCAGTGTTACATTTTTGTGTCCTGATATTATTTTCTGTTTTTAAATACGTCCCGCTCTGGCACTCATATAGTGACTGTAAACCCTTTCATTACCTATAGATAAGGTGTGCTCATTTGTTACAAATTCAACATATCTGTAGCACTATATATTGCACCCCCATTGGACATAAGGTACCGACTAACAATGTGTATCAAAATCATAATCTTGTAAATGTTGGAGAGGCAAAAAGATACATGTTGTATTTATTTTTGTGTTCTTGCCAAATGTTGCACACAGTCACGTCGTGGCCCCGTGTAAAATCAGCCTCTTATCGAAACATTTAATTCACAAATCAACGCATCGGCTGCTCCTTTTCTAGACCATTCCATCAGTACTGGAGCAGTCCCAAAACTCATCGTGAATCAGACTTCATTTAGAACACCTGTAGGCAGTAAAACACAAATAATGGTGTTTAACTTGCATGAAGGCATTAGAGATGCCAATAAGATACCGTAGTTCTTGTTATAAAGAAATAATCCGTTCATTTTACTTCCAGTACCTCGATGTTCTGAATGCCTGTTTGATGCAGATGTTGTATTTTCTTTGCCTTGTAAGCAAGTGCGTGTGTTATATAAATGTACTGCAATTATCTCCTTCATTATCTCCTTTAAAAACAGCAGGCTGGTTGTAAGGTAAACGTCTGCGGAGGAAGTTGACCCCTCTACAAAAAGACACGTGGAAGTTTAAAATGAGACTGAATGACAATCTGGACTTAAGGATTCATGATGGAAACTCGATGATGATGATGATGATGGTGGAACTCATTGCACAGGGTGATGGACATGCAGAATTATGACACTATGGAGACGCAGAAGACTTTATTATTGTACGTTATATTTTCCTTTTAAATAACTATGACCTTATTCTTTAAGGATTGAGCATTACAGTGATCAGAACATTGTTCACCATGTTTTAAAAGAAAACACATTTTCATTGTATACACTGTGCAGCTCACATTTTTGTTTTGTTTATTTCTCCTTTCATTGTCAGAGATGTCTGATTGCAAAGACCACAATATAATCCCCCGGCCAACATCTTTGCCCTTACGTAATAAATAAAGTGGACATCAGTGATTATTCTTTCAGTGATGTTTTGTATATTCTCAATGAAGAAATACCTGCAGACCACTTAAACCATTCTCAATTAGAGACGGAAGTATTTGGCTTTGATAGTGACAAGCTACTTTACATGATACTTACTAGAGTTTAAAGACTAACCAGTCTTGTCCTTCTCACATACAGTTAATTTCATCACACACAATTCATTTAATTCCATATATTCTCTTTTCAAAAGCTTTTGACGATATACTCTGTCTTCTTGGCCTCATTGTTGAGCTCTCCGAAGGTGTCGAAGAACTGCTCCATCTCCTTCTGCAGAGTGGCGTTGCGTTGTTCTGCGGCGGCCCGAATCCTTTCAGACTCAGTGATCTTATCCTCGACGGCCTGGTACCAGTGTCGCTGCTGTGAGAGGTTTGTTTTCAACCGAACCACCTCGACCTGCAGCTCTTCATTTCTCTGCTCTAAGCTGATGGTAAATACACAAAGAAGAGGGTTGCATTAGGGTGAATGAAAGACTGATATCTATGTTAGGTTTCTAGCAATGGCCAGCAGTGTATTTTTGAGTCAATCTAACATGTATGTTGATAGTTTTTTTTAATAGGTCTGATTCTTGATGGTTGGTAGAACAGGTGGCTTATTTTTTTACTATAAGCTATAAGTATTGTACTGCCATGTTCCTCTTGTCCTTGCCAACCAGTACCAGTGACCTTACACTGAGACTTGCTCTATCTATATCAGTAATAAATGAGGTATGTGTTGTGTCTAGGTCAGCAGCATGGCCCCTTAAATTAGCTCTCTTTCCAATGCCATGAGCTGTTTCTATAGGTCAACCACACAGGATGTGCTTTTTTTAAACGTAAAACCAAACCGCTATTTACCAACAGGAGGCCTCACTGTCTTAGGTCAGTGCAACATTATATGACACATCCAAGTGTGATATGTAGAAATGTCCACAGTACACTGAAAACACAAAAGTGGATAAAATAATGAAGTTGTAAGGACTTAATTAGTAATAATCTTAGTACTTTCAATGATGGGAAATGTTCATGTGAACTAAAAGCAGTTGTTGGTGTGCTTCAAACTAAACAGGATACAGGGTGAAGCTCGAGGTCAACTGAGCAACACAGCTGAGTGGACACACACGATTTCTGGGCCTGGGAACATTATGTCACCCTCCACAGCAATACACCAAGAACTGGGAAAATCTCAAGTCAGTGAACTGAAAGTGTGATACTAAAGCCAAAAGCACATTAAATTCAGGACATTTCATTTGTCATGGTGTAACTTATCCATATTATGTTTGCTTTGTTTGAAATGGAGAAGAAAAAAGAAATGAACGTTACCTGAGTATTCGTGCCTCGTACTCCTCCCTCTGTCGGACTATTTGCTGTTGGAGACCAGTGAGGATGCTGCGGAGGGCGCTGGCGGAGGGGTCTGCCAGGGGTACAGGGGGGGGCACCCTGGGAGACCAGGATGGCTGCTGGGTTTCAGCTGAGGGCCACAGAACCTGGCTCTCAGACTGGGGTAGCTGAGGGGAAGTTGCTGTAAGACGCTGTTGAGGGGGGGACATCTGGAGCTGCAGCATCAGGTCCCCCCGCTGAAATCCACAGGATCCAGAGTCCAGCTTTGGCTCCTGATCATGCTTTTTGTCTTCGCCTGGGTTCTGGTCCTGGTTATTGTCAGCGAGGATGATCTCACAGGAGGACCAGGCGCTCTTGCCTTCACTCACTCCCTCGCCGTCCATCAGTCCCTGGAAGTGCTCAGGGAGCCACGCCTGGTACATCTGCTCCTGGAAGCTTGTTTCCATCTCAAAGACGTCTTGGAGGCTGTCGGGGGTGACAGCTTCAGGGAGGTTATCGTACACAGATAGAGCGCTCCCGTGCTCCTCGCTCTGCGATGGATTTGGGCTCTGGTTCTGATGAGCTCTGTCCTCAACTCCCCAGCGTCCTCCCTGATCTTCTCTGGCTCTGTTTATGATGGGACCCCGCTCTGCTTCACAGCCCTGTCTTCCCAAAGCTCCTCTCCAGCTGCAATAGCTGTGATCTGGCCAGGCGCCAGCCTCTCTTCCCCCACTGAGCAGTGAGGGACCCTCAGCCACAGCTGGGGGGCGGCAGGTGGAGGGCAGCAGGGGCCTGAGAGTCTGGTTACAGCCGGGCACACAACCCTGCTCTCCATTGCCTTTGCCCTTTTGCTCCCTCGCTGGGCAAAAGGTGGGCAGTTGTCGTACAAGGGGTCCGTGGAGCAGGAGCTGGCTGTGGTTGGGGTCTCAGTAGGAAGACAGTGCAGCTCCATGATCCACCCAGGCACATGTGGGTGCTGAGGGTGTTGGTCTATCTATCTAGTCTATTCAATCATATTATACGCATCTCTCTCCTATATCTTCTATCCTCATGCTCTCTATACTCTCGATCTCGTCTCTCTCTCTCTCTCTCTCTCTCTCTCTCTCTCTCTCTCTCTCTCTCTCTCTCTCTCTCTCTCTGTCTAATGCAACCTGGGATCCAGAGCCTCCCCTGTGCCAAGTGCTGATGTCGTGGGGAGAGGAAGGTGTAAGAGACCTCCCTTGGCTGTGTGTGTGTGTGTGTCTTTAAGCAGGAGTGACATCAGCTGTTACTTTAGCAGAGCTTCTGAGGGAGGGCTCAGGGTGTAATAGAGTCTGGCTCATTCCTAAAGACAGTCCCATATAACTGGAACCACAGAAATAGACAGTGGCCATTGGCACAAAGTGAGAAGCACACACAATGAACCCAATAATCTGGACTCAATATTTGTCAAAACACAGACGTTTTAGACTTGAGGTCCTGATATATAATCTTTTACATTTAAAGGAATGCTGCAGTGCTTACTGTGTATACTGCTTCTCATGGCCCCATTACCTTAGCTGGCTCATTGATTTTTCTTCTCAGTTTTAGTGCATCCTATCTACATTCACACTGTAGGATGAGTTCACAGCCAAGTGTTTGTACTACACAAAGTTCACCCCGCATAATCTGCTGCAGTGCATGTATCACTTTGAAGGACGCTCACCACTAAACCGGTGAAATGCTGTCAACAACAGGAGACAAAAACATGCATTATGAAATCATGGAGGTTGTGGATTGAACCCACATGATAGAGAGGAGACTTGTGTCAGGTGTTTTCTGTGTCTTTTAGTGGTGCAAATGAAGGACAGAAATTATTTAAAAGATGAAGCTGTGCATTACAGACAAAGAGAGTAAGAGGGAAAAAGAAGACGGACACAAAATCACAAAAATCCTCAAAAATGTTTCTTGTCACTGTGACTTAAAACCACAAGGTGGAGCTATAGACAACATTATGAAATGCCTAGTGTAAATGGGCGGTGTACCTTGAAATCATAAAAAATGTTTTGAGGAAAAGGATGATGATTCAGACCTATAGTATTTAGGTAAGAATATTTTTATTCGGTGCTCACACTGTAACTTATAGCTAACATCATAGTAATTTGGTTTGCCTCCAATGCATTTCTTCAATTGCATGATTCTGTTTTAATCTAAATCCTGCTTGGTCCATGTTTGAATCATATCGAGCTAATTTTTGGAGCCTTGTAAAAATCAAATGAGCCCAGTGAAGAACTCCCTCATTAGTGAGATGCCATGGAGGAACTACTATCAAAGGCAGTTCCTTTTGACAGAGGAAGCCCCCACACAGATGCTTTGTCCTTAAATCCCCTCCAGTTTAACGGCTGCAGAGAAGAAGTGACGTCTCTCAAACTTTTATTCAACCACTAACCACATGCTGCCTCTGTGTGCTTCAATTTCACACCACTTTTGCTCAATATTACTTAGAATAAAGCGTTCCACAGGATCCTTGGAATGTCACTGCAATGCTTCACAAATCAAGGCCGCGCCTGCAAACTCATTTCAGCATGGCCGCATTAAACCGTCAGTTATCCGTCAACACTGATAAAACTCCACTCTTATCGTCTCTATGTAAATCACCCTGCGTCCTTCAAGGCTGTGCAGACAGAGGAAAACCTTTTATCTCTTAGTAAACTAAACACACATTGGAGATTTGAAATGTGGGCAGAGTTTAATCATGTCATGAATGAATGCAAGACGCTCTCTGAGTACTCGGAAAGTGATGAAGGTTAGACCAGCAAAAGGCTCTGAGATGTGAGGGTGAGACATGAAGAAAACAACCAGCAGGAACCCCACACACATGCTTTAATCTGGCTCATGCTTCACCCTGACCTCCATCTGTCATTGAACATGATGGACGACCCCTCCGACTTAACCCCCCCGCCCTGACCCCCGCGACTTATCACAGCTGGATGGCCACAGTGCAGAGGTTAAGCTTCCTTCAAGCCCTCTCATCGCCCTGAACTCTTTCCTTTTTCTTTCGCCCTTCTCCACTTCCTGTACATGTGCGTAGTTGTTTGTAGCCATGACGACAGCATCCATGGCAACACAGATCCCCATGGTTCTAAATAATAAAGGTGGATGGATGAAGGAAGAGGAGGAGCGGTGTCGGGGGGAGGAAGGGCACTGTGGCTATTTTAGCAAGTGTCTCGATGGAGAGTAATTGAGGAGGGCCCTTGTTAACAAGAGACAGGGTCTGCTTTAGAAGAGGCTTCCAAGTGTAATACACAGCCAGCTTTGTGGTTATAGAGAAACATGAGCAATATAATAGGCCAGGATACTTATTCATCACTGGGCATACAACTAAGACAAATCAGGGGTATGTGTGAATGTGAATGTGTATAGGAGTGACAAGGAGTGACAAGGAGTGGAGCAGATAGGCAGCAACATGGAGCGTCAAGGAGAGATAAGGAAAAAGCAGGCAGTTTGTGTCTGTAATGCGACGGTGTATTCTCTTGCATGCAGGTGTGTTTTGGAGAGATTAACATCCCTGCCTCTCGTTCCTCTGATCCCCAACCTGTCTGTGTGTGTGTGCTTTAAAGCTGCAGTGCTACCTGAGCAGATTATATACAATCTCTGTGCTGTTTACTGTTGTTTTATCGAGACTGCCATGGTTCAGAAGCTCACACTGAAGGAAACAAAGCCCAGCGTCACACCGAGTCAGACTTTAAAGCTGCTATTAGTGTCGCTAGACGGTGGGGAGCAATTAAAAAATTTTGCTTGGTTTATTCTAATCTGAGTTTCCTTCAGTGGTGCAAAACTATTCAATAGATTTTTCATATACTCCACTTAAACTCAATTGTTTTACTTAATATTATTCCACCACATGTAAGGGGAAACAGTCGGTCCAAGTAAGTGTTTTGGAACTTCTTCATCAACAAACAGCAGATATCTGCCTTTGTTTTTAGTTTACAAATCATAATCAAAATGTATTTGATATACATTGTCCAGATAATTAGAATATTGCTGATGTTTATTATTTATTTATTTTCATTACAGAATGACTCAGGATGTAATGTATCATTGATGTGTAGCTGCCTTTCTTTCTGATGCATCTACAGGATGGTAATTAAGGCGTAACTTAAAGAGTTATTAAGTTGGCGCTTATACTTTCTTTCTGATGTCCAGAGTTTAAATCAGACCCTTTTGAAAAGTATTTTTGTCAAGAAGCATCTGTGCCTCATCCATTTTAAACCTTTCTCAAGGTATCATTCCACGCTGTGGATTATTTGAGAACAAGGACGAGGTGTCTTCGGGCAACACGAGGCTCTCACTCATATGCAAACACACTCCTGCTCTCTCAAACAATCCCACATAGATGTATACAGAGGAGATGTGCGTCACTGCCATCCATGTGTGAGTAGGTTATGTTGCTGCTATGCTAAATTGGATTATATTGCTTTTTTAAGACATCTATCCACTATACACACTCTCAATTAAAGCCCTCTGCACATTTTTACTCCTGTGTGAGGGTCCACAGGCTCTACAATTTCATTATAGCTCATATGATTAACATTTTCATTAACTGTTACTATCATCTCTGGTGGCAGATGTGCGATGCGATTACATTACATTACATACAAAAAGCGTGTCTTATCATTACATTACATTACATTGCATTTAGCTGACTCTTTTATCCAAAGCGACTTACAATAAGTGCGTTCGACCAACAAAATACAAACTTGAAGAAAACAGAATCATATAAGTACATCAGGTTTCATAGAGCTAAAACATTTCAAGTGCTACTCAACTGGCTTTAGATAAGCCAGTCCTTTATTAGTATATAAGTGCTTTGTTAATAATTATATCGCTCGAAGTGGAGTCGAAAGAGATGAGTTTTCAGTCTGCGCCGGAAAATGTGCAAGCTATCTGCTGTCCTGATGTCAATGGGGAGCTCATTCCACCATTTTGGAGCCAGGATAGCAAACCCACGTGTTTTTGCTGATGGGAACTTGGGTCCCCCTCGCAGTGCGGGTGCAGCGAGCCGTTTGGCCGATGCAGAGCAGAGTGTACATGCTGCTGGGGTGTACAGTTTAACCATGTCCTGGATGTAGGAAGGGCCAGATCCATTCGCAGCATGGTACGCAAGTACCATTGTCTTAAAGTGGATTCTAGCAGTTACCGGAAGCCAGTGGAGTGAGCGGAGGAGCGGCGTGGTGTGGGAGAATTTAGGAAGGTTGAAGATCAGGCGAGCCGCTGCATTCTGGATGAGCTGCAGAGGACGGATGGCACATGCAGGTAGACCAGCCAGGAGGGAGTTGCAGTAGTCTAGGCGTGAGATGACGAGAGCCTGGACCAGAACCTGCGTCGCTTTCTGGGTCAGGTGGGGACGTATCCTCCTGATGTTGTAAAGCAGCGGGTTGTAGCAGCGATGTTTGCAGTGAAGGACAGTTTGTTATCTAGGGTCACACCCAGATTCCTTGCAGTCTGAGTCGGGGAAACAATAGGGGTGCCGATGTTGATTGTTAGGTCAAGGTGTCGTCAGCGTAGCAGTGGTATGAAAAACCATGCGGGCTAATGACAGATCCGA